TTTTTTTTTTTTTTTTTTTTTTTTTAAATGTGGGCCAAGATGTCGTGAGGAGGGAAAACTAGAAACCGATTCATTTTAGTTTCACTTAAGCTCAACAAGAGGCAGACAGCTAGCAGTGCTGGCTGTTGGGGCACAGTGCAGCAGAAAAGAAATCGTCCCTGTTTCTGAGGGGAAAGTGTAACACTTCATTTTTTCCCCACCATTGTATACAGTTATTTCAACAGAAGGCTGCGCATTTTGGGTAATACTGTTTCTTGTACACATTAAGAGCTTTGACAAAATCCAGAAAGATAAAAAAAATTAGGGCCAGACAAGGTAAAACAGCAAACAAGTTCGCCGTGAAAAGGAGTGCACAATTATCCTGATAAATATTTTGAGAAGAGCTTTGCAGCTCTTTTCCCAAAAGCAGTTTCATATATAAAGCATACAATGGTTTATTACAGTCCTTGTTTAAAACTATATACAATTCATAACTGATTTTTATTTAGTTAATCTCTTGGGCATATTTTTAACCAATTTGCTTCTGACTGCACTATATATGTTATGTCTGGGATATTTCAAACTAGAAAAAAATTTGGAAAAGGATTTCCTATGAGGCAGAATAAAGTACTCAACTGCAAAGAATATTGATAGTGGTTGTATATTAGTAAAAAGCCAAGTTGAACTGCTTCCTATAGAAAAATATTGATAGTGGGGTTTTGTGTGTGTGTACATATATGTATGTGTGTATGTCTAAAGTGACACAGCCTCCTGCCTCCCATTTGTTTAACGAATTAGATTGAAATTCGCATCAATGTAATCAGCATTGGTGTTGGTATCAGATAGATCTCCTTGGGGAAGGTCTTAATAATTGGAATGCCACAGGTGGGACATACAAATGTGTCCTGCTAGCTGATTTTAATATTGTGGCAGGAACATAAGAGAAAGGGATCTTAAATATTGAAGAACTAACTCGTAATTCCTTGCATCTTTAACTTTAATTGGATGCAAATAGATAATGCCGGACTCAGTTGATGAGCCAGTTGAAGTAGATTGACTTGGACAGAGGCAGGCAATGGTGATCTTCTAATTAATATGACAAGAGTTAGACTGGCTACCTTGAGAGAAGAACAGTTGGAATCTTTCTTGAAGAGACCCTTCCATATGTTACTGATTGGTTGGTTTATTCATTATTTTAGAGGTCAGCCAACTTCAAATGACTCGGCAGCGTACAATTTCAGAGCAAGGAACAATAAAAATTAAGAAATCAATCATAGACACCGAGAAGAGAGAAACATAGTCATTTCTTATAAATAGGTTTTGTAGTTTAGTTTTATAGGATCAGGCTGCAAGCAAAATTTCCGTTACTTTCTGTTTTATTCTGAAGTAGCAATAGCAATAGCACTTAGACATATATATTACTTCACAGTGCTTTAGAACCCTCTCTAAGTGGTTTACAATGTCAGCATATTGTCCCCAACAACCTGGGTCCTCATTTTACGGATCTCGGAAGGATGGAGCCCCATCTTCGAGCCCCATCAGGATCGAATTCCTGGCTATGGGCAGAGATAGCCTGCAATACAGCATTCTAATCACGGTGCCATCACTGCTCCTGTATAATATATATAGTATAGTATAGTATAGTATAGGATAGGATAGGATAGGATAGGATAGGATAGGATAGGATAGGATATATAAATGACAATACATTCAAATCTATAATTGTGGTGCACTTAAGTTGAAAGAGTGCTGAATAGTTGGACATTTTCAAATTAACACCCCTGGCATCAAACTGCATATGGAAAATTGACATTCAATAACTAATTCTAGTTAATTAAGCCTAGAGTCTAGCTAGTAAAGCCTGTTTTAAGACCTATCACTTTGGTGATAAGTGCATCCACACGTATTTTATCTTGAAGCTCACAACCTACTACATTTTAGATTCTGTGGAGATGGGGTTGACTTATATTCAGTTCTCTTTCTGCAGAAATCTATTAAACTCTTCAGACTTCTAGAAGGCTTTTTGTGTAATACTTTCAATGATTTTTTTGTAGATAAAATCTCTTCTTTCAGGCTATTCTAGATGCCTCTTTTGATGTATAGACTTATGGAATATTTTACCATTTGTCTTCTGGATTTTTAATCAACTTTTATGTATAATGTCTAGCTATGAAATTATTATATACAACTTAGTTAACAACATAAATGCTTTCTGTTTAAAGAATGCAATTATTAGATTTCTTCTGTAAAAGCTTGTCGTAGAGCCCTCAGAAACACAGTAATAACTCATTCTTTAGCCTCCTGTCATTAAGTGATTTAGAGAAAATGGTATTTTCAACCACAGATAACTCTTTTTTTTAAATTGGTACTTAAATTTGGTACTCAAAGCAAACAATATTTTTGTCAGTACTAAGTTGTATTCTTGCACATATCATATACCTATCAACTTTGTGATGTTGTACATTGTTACATATGGCACCAATCTACTTTTATGGGAAGAATTAGCTGATAATTGACAAAACCAAACTGTTCTCACAAATATTATAAATTATCAGTACTGCTTTATTTGATTTTTGCACAATATATTTTTATATAAACCTGGTTTCCTATAGCAGGGGTCCCCAACCCCTGGTCTGTGTACCAGTACCGGGCCGCAGCATGCCAGCAACTAGTCCGCACAAACAAGTAAATCCCATCTGTGGGATGCAGGCAGTACATGAAACCACACACCCTCTGGTCCGCAGAAAAACCTCTCCACGGAACCGGTCCCTGGTGCCCAAAAGGTTGGAGACCTCTGTCTTATAGTACTTACATTTTCTAATCAACAAATGCAGCTTAAATCTTTAAAATTATGTTGTCTTAAATGTGTTGACAGCTGTCACTTTCATAAAATGATTTGGATTCATGTAGACCAGTGATGGCGAACCTTTTAGAGACCGAGTGCCTAAACTGCAACCCAAAACCCACTTATGCATCGTTGGGTGCTGGGTGGGTGTGGCCCATTTAGTGGGTGTGGCCCATTGGGTGGGCGTGGCTGCGGTGGTAACGGCAGACTGGGTGGGACTAAAAAGTTCAATCAATCAATTCCAACTTTGCAAGATCTTTTTTTCCCCGCGAGAAGTTGAAATTGACTGATTGATTGAACCTTTTTTTTTTTTTTGCACAAGGCAGCGGAGGCCTAAAGCAAAAAGGTTTTATAAAACCCAGCTGAAGGCCTAGGACTGGGGCGACGGCATGCGTGCCCACAGAGAGGGTTCTGAGTGCCACCTCTGGCACCCGTGCCATAGGTTCGCCACCACTGATGTAGACCATGGTACAATTGTAGAATTGAAGATTTTATTTCCCACTTTTTTTCTGGCACTTCAAAATTTTCTAATATGTTCATGCATCCAATTTATGCAATTCATTAGATAAATGGTATTCAAACCATGGACCTTAAAACTATACCTTTTTCAGGAAAAGCTAAGTCAGATAAATTTATCTTTAGGTTATTACATATAAATGAAATGCAAAAACAATGACAAAAATTACAGCTGTTTCAAATTTTAAAACAAGACTGAATGTAGGATAGCAGTGATGTAACATGAAATATGTCATAGCACAATTCCACATATGTACAAGCTACCCTCAATGAACTGTTCAATAACTTTATGTGCAATCAGAAAAATATGCTAAAACATAAATATATTAAAAAGCCAAGGATATAGTCCAAGCAAATTTCTTTTGATTAAAGTAATTGTATATTTTTATTGATTGTCAAGCTGAAATTATGTTGATATGATATACATATATTTAATAATAATATAATACTAATACTAATAATATTACTAATTCTAATAATAATAGAGTTGGAGGGGACCTTGGAGGTCCCTCTAGTCCAACCCCCTGCTCAGGTAGGAAACCCTATACCATTTCAGACAAATGGTTGTCCAGTCTCTTCTTAAAACTCAACTTCTGGAGGCAGGTTGTTCCACTGATTAATTGTTCTAACTGCCAGAAAATTTCTCCTTAGTTCTAGGTTGCTTCTCTCCTTTATTAGTTTCCATCCAATGCTTCTTGTCCTGCCTTCAGGTGCTTTGGAGAATAGCTTGATTCACTTTTCTTTGTAGCAAGCCCTGAGATATTGGAACACTGCTATCATATCACCCCTAGTCCTTCTCTTCATTAAAGTAGAGATACCTAATTCCAGCAACCGTTCTTTATATGTTTTAGTTTCCAGTCCTCTGATCATCTTTGTTGCTCTTCTCTGTGCTCCTTCTAGAGTCTCAACATCTTGACAATGAAAACTCTACTAGGGCTAAAGTTAGGGTTAACTCTACTTGGAGTCATGCCCCAAAACTAATGCTAGGGATAGATTCTTACAGGTATTTGAAGGAAAGAGACGGTTATAGTTTTTCATTCAGAGTTATCGTAGTGACCAAAACTGGAAGCAGTATTCCAAGTACAGCCTTACCAAGACACTATAAAGTGGTATTAACACTTCATGTGATCTTGATTCTATCCCTCTGTTAATGCAGCCTAGCACTGTGTTGGCTTTTTTGGCAGCTGCAGCACACTGCTGGCTCATATTTAAGTGATTGTCCACTAGGACTCCGAGATCCCTCTCACAGTTACTACTATTCAGCAAGGTACCACCTATAATGTACCTGTGCTTTTGGTTTTTCTTGCCTCAATATAAAACCTTACTTTTTTCACCATTGCATTTCTTTTTGTTAGATAGTGCCCAATGTTCAAGACTGTCAAGATCTGTCTTTATCTTATGTCTTTCTTCTGGAGTGTTGGCTATTCCTGCCAGCTTGTGTCATCTGCAAATTTGATTAGTTCCCCATCTATCCCCTCATCCAAATCATTGATGAAGTTGTTGAAGAGCACTGGGCCCAAAACAAAGCCCTGGGGCATCCCACTGCACACTTCCCTCCATATAGATGCAGTTCCATTGATGTTCATATTTTATCTTTTTCAGTTAATTAACATAAATGGATTCTGGTGAAGATTTGGAGGCATTACTAGATAAAAAGACGGAGGCAAGTTACGACAAATATTTCTAAATAATTATATTATTTTCTAAGTGATTTATTAATGATTAGATATACTTGTTCTTTAGATAATTAAATATTGAGACTAATAAGAATGTGATTATATCCATTGTTTAGGGTTTTTTTTAAATGGCTTTGGATCCCTACAGATAAGATTTTAACAATTTCCTTTCTTTTTTTAGAAAGAGAAAGTTCAGGAAAGATTTGCAAAGAAAAAAAAATCTTTACCTAAGGAAGTGTTAGAAATCAGGCTCTTTCATCCATATTAAAATAGAATATAGTATATTCTTTAGAATTTTGGATATTCTTCAGAAATTGCTTTTTAGAAAATCTCTAATTATGTTGATAACTTTGTCTGTTCAATGTCACATTTTATTTGTATATTTTCATGAAAAATGCACATGTAAACTGCTTTGAACTAATGAAGAGGTGATTTAAAAGTATTAAATTAAATATGCACAATTTGTACCCTGGAGTTAATCAAAAATTAACAAAAACAGTGCAAGTTATATTTAGGTTTCTTCCAGCTGTAGAATAGTTAAAAACAGGAAGCAGAGAGGAACAACGGATAACTCTTATGCTAGAGAAACTGTGTAGATTTCCCATAAAATGCATGTTGGGACTGGCACTTAAATTAGGAATGAGCAGGTAGCCAATCTGCAGAAGACAGTAATCTACGCTGAAAGATAAAAACCAAAAAGCATAGGTGAATAATTATAAAGTAATATAAAATTTGAGGAGAGAAATATTTGTTATACAACATTGTTGATTTATATTGTTTTCTGCTTGTACTACACTCAGGTATAAAAGTACCGGTATATCAAATAAAAATACTAAATACTACTTGTTAAAATGGCAAATGTAATTTAAGGTAAATGTAATCCATATGTAAACTAATGGGGAATTGAGGTCAGTGACCTGTTTGTAGCAATTGTTGAAAAATTGTTAGGAATTAAAGGAATGGAAGATAAAACTGCCAACACTATAATGCCTATTTAAAAAATACACAGTGTAACCCCATGTGTACAATTTGGGTTGCTGAACCTCGATAACTGTATTATAAAAAAGAGGCAAAAAAGAGCAATCAAAATGTTCAAGCTGTAAAAGTGAGGAAAAGTTGTAACGTGAGATACATAAATTAAAGGAGACATGACAGAGCTCTATAAAACAAGTAGTCATAGTGTATAATGAAATTGGAAAAAATAATTGTTTTGCACTCATAATTTTTGAATCTATGGTCAGCTTATAATTGTGGGAAATAATAGGATTAAAATGGAAAAAAGGCTGGAAAGTAAAGTGCTTTGTAAATATCTGAGACCTGAAGGAAAGGTGGGATATACATTGATTAAATCAATCAATTATTCAATCAATCAATCAATCATACAGGGATATAGTTCTTATAGTTTATTAGCAATTTTTCTTATGCAATTTAGCAAACTGAAGATGACCTTTATGATGATAGAATACAAATAGAAGCCCAAGAACAAAGTCCACAGAAAGGTAATTCAGTATTTTATTTGGATGGATATTACCACTATGAAATTTAGGAACATTTAGTGTGCCTTAAATTGAGTTTTATTATTTCATTTTATCATTCTTTCACAGTATCTTTTTTATGCATTCTTTTCAATATTAAAAAAGTTTTCCCAGGGAAGATATCTATCTTGACTTCTCAATTTAATAACATGGAAAAATGAAAAAGTTCAGGTATCACAGTACAGTGGTCCCCTCTTAATGATCTAGAAATATTTTAACATTAATTATAACATTAAAGTAATTTGTAATATTTTGTTATTCCTTTATCTACAATTTCAAAACTTAGCTGTAAATGCAATTTTGTCAAATAAGGCTGAAGAAAGCACAGTTTTCTCAGTGCTGCTGCTCTGTCTAACTTTACTGCTTAGCACACAGGTTCTTTAACTGGGAGTAATTATACCCAAAGGAGTAATTTGGGCATATGTTGTGGGTAATGAACCATCATCTAAGTGGTTCCTACTTCCCCAACCCAAGTATACTTACAGATGTCCCCACTTTTTCTCACCTTTTCTGGAGCTCTTACTGGAGAGTGGTAGTAGCTGGGCTACTAGTCCTGTTTTAAAAAATTATAAAATACCTTTGCACTTCTAGAAAGTTACTTTTTGATTCCGTAACTGTTCCAGCTGTTAGATATGACAACTTTTCCTCTATTCTCTTACCTATTCAGACTCACCAGAAAACTATTCTGGCAGTAATCTTTTTTCTCTTTCCATGCACTATACAATTTTTATGTGAACTGTTTAATTTATTGTAGTTAATCGGTATCACTGCAGCTTTGCCAATAATCCAGATTTCTAGAGAATTTATGAACAGAAGCATAGCTTTTGAAGAAAAATGATCACTGAAGACTAATCTCATTCCAATTCTCTAGAAACTTAAGAGACAGCTGCACAGCTAATGCAGATTGTGACTTTGTGCTCTTCCATTCTTAACCTAGATTACTAGGGCCTTTGAATTTGTTGTTAACTTCCTTTTTTCAAATTTGTGAAAGTGAAGCAAAAATGTAATTCCCTGCCTACACACTGTGCTACTCCATCTTTTTTAAAAAGTTTACAATAAAATGGTTAACTGGCTAAGCTGATGGATTTATTCTCCCAGAAAAAAATGCTTTGATACTGTATATAAATTAGCCATTCATGGAAGAATCCCTAATTAAACAACTCTAATTCAAACTATAGAGCAGTGAAGGGTGACTGGCTAATTCTAACCATTCTTATCATGGGAATGGAAGAGGTCTGAGATTGCACTGTACTTTCTTTGGAGGTACTGTTTGATTGATAATGAAATGGTATAGCTCCTTTTGTTACTGTCAGACTTTATCCTCTTTGCATGTTCCAGAATTTTACATTCTTTGAATGCAAGATAACAGTGTCAAATACCGGTTATTTAATTTTAGGGGCAGGAAATGTGGCTCTTTTCCATGATTAGCCACAGACATTTTTCTCTCTCACTGCTTCCACCTCTGCTTTGTCTTCCTTTAATAGCTCTGCCACAATGACTTCTAAATGATTCTTGAAAGACAGAAGGCAACTGAATAGAACTAAAACGCACTATTGGGCAATGCTGCCTAACATAGTATAGTAATGCAAACACTAATGAAATGTAATTGCAGCAGAAACAGTTATGCACAATTATTTAGACCTGTATTCCCTGCAAAGTACCACTTGTCCCAAAAACTTTGAATTGGGTTGTTATATTATAAAGTTCAATTTGATTTGTAGATATGCTGGTTGATCCCTGAATCTAATCCCTTTCTTCCCCACCAATATGGGTGTCAGAAATTACTATTTAAAAACATTGCCCTACTTTTTGGTGCAAAACACAGCATCCTATCCTTTCCAGCAAGCTGATCTCATAAACTCATGATCTCATGAATATTAGAAGTAGAACTCCATGAGGATTTTGAATCAGAGAAGAAGGCTGTCAGGTTCAAGGCTAAATCAGAGCAGCCTATTAAATATACATTCATTTGGAATTTTGCTAAGTGTGTGTCTCTGTATGTGGTTCAGATGCAGAACTCAAGCATTTAACAGCTTCAAAAACTAAAAAAAATTATAGTCACATATTTTGCTGTTAACAATATGATCTACAGTATATACTATAGGGCAGGGGTCCCCAACCCCTGGTCTGTGGACCAGTCCCAGGCCGCAGCATGCCATCAACCGGTCCATGCAAACAAGCAAAGTCCCATACACGGGATGCAGGCAGCACACAAAACCACGCACCCTCCGATCCACGGAAAAACCTCTCTCCACGGAACCGGTCCCTGATGCCCAAAAGGTTGGGGACCTCTGCTATAGGGACTATGAAAGAATTCTGTCACAAACTACATTCTAAAAATGTATGCTTTCTTGATTCTAGTTGTGGCTGAAGTAGAAGAACAAGATACATTAACTGAAGCATTACGGGGCAGAGTAAAAGAAAAGCTGAAAACTGTCAAGGTGATAGTTTTAATTGGTCTGTAACTAAATGAAAAAAAAAAACGCAAAATATTTATTTATGTTTCTATGAAAAAAAAATTCAATGTAAAAGATTCACCTTCAACATCACTTGAAGTATCCCAGAAAAAAGTGGTTATATGATGAGTAATTTGTAAGTGATTTTGGTTATTAATATGTATGTCAAAAGTAATATTGTAAATACAGCATAATATTTATTTTAGGCTGCGCAGGAAAAAGATTTTTCTCACATACAAAATTCTGCCGCAGGATTTCAGAACAATCAAGAAACAAATGCTGAGGTAACAAAACTTTTGTAAAAAAATATTCCCAAGAGTAATAAACTATTGTTTTGGTCAGTTTCAGGATGTTAATAATGAGAAAGGCACAGTTTTGTAGAACTGTAATTCAGGCCGTACTGCCTTATATAAATAGAAAAATGATCCTTTCTTAATTCTTAATCTTTTATTAAATTTTATTAAAAGTTAATGTTGATGTTCTATATAATCTGTGCAAACATAATATGTCTGTAATCTTGTAACAGGAATAGAAATATACCATAGGGAAATATTTGTCTATCCTATTCTAGTTAAAGGGTGTCAAACTGGTGGCCCGCAGGCCAGATGCATCAAGAACAGGCCACGCCCACCCCATCTCCGCAAAGGCAAAAAAGTCACAATACATCACATGATGTGATCGAGTTTGACACCCGTGTTCTAACTGATCCTCGTGGGTCTAGTCCCTTTAACTTTAAAACATAATCTTTTAAATTGTTTTTCTTCCTTTTAAAATCTAATCTAATTCTATTCAATTTCATGTTTCATATTTATATTTATTTTAAAATTATTGGTATAAGCATCACGGAGGATCCATAAAGCTTAATAAAATAATCTGCATCTGGGAGGTCAACAATAAAAACAGGAAAAGCCCTTTGAAATAATGTCAGCAGAAAGCTAAATATGGATTTCAGTCTGTCAAATATAACAACAAAAGGCTAAATAGCAAAAAAATTAGTAGCAACTGAATTAACTTGCTGACATTTCCCCATTCTTTTGTTTCAACAAGTATCATGAACATATCTAAAATTTGATTGCCAAATCTGAAACAATAAATAATCTGAATCATTCCTAGAACTGGTGGTGCCATAGAAAATAGATAATTAGTAATCACTGTATTTGCCATCAAACCTTATTAGCAAGCACGGAAATAAATACTGTGGAATAGATATTTTACTAGTTTCTATAGCTACATGTGCAGTTTGGGATATCAGACAATGGGCACAATTATTTTTTGTAAACAATTTTGTGTTGATCTGATCACTATGACCTCCAAGGTCCCTTCCAACTTTATTATTATTATTAGTAGTAGTAGTAGTATTAGTATTATTAGTATTCTCAGTATTAAACTGGAGTCCTTTTGTCATAAATTCATTAATGTTTCAAATGATAACTGAGTAGTTATGAAATATTGCTTGTATGAATTCAAATTGTCTTTTTAGTTTTAAATAGTATTTTGTGCAATTTAAATAGTAATTTCCTTTTTTTGAATCAGCGTGAAGCTAATGTAGCAGGCTATACATATTTAGAGATGCTGTTTTATGTTAATCTAAACCTTATCACAAAAAGCATTGCCAAAATGTTTATATTCTTTCTTCATTATATTTTCCCAGAATTGTTTAAAACGGGGGGAAATGGATCAAGATGTTATTTCAAAATGTCTAATCTCAGTGTTTATGCAGTTTTTGGAATGAATGATGACGATTTAGCAGTATAGGATAATTTAGGGAGATCACAAAACTTACGCCAGTTGTTTAATTAACAAATGTATATGAATAAGTGCCAACATAGTTTTAGTTAAAGGGTAACCTATGCATCTTTGAAACATAACAATATTTCACTGAGGAGTGGATGGTTGCTATTGTAAAATCAAGCATAATATCTGAGCGGTAACTGTTAAAGAATATGAGGACAAATAAAGGAAAATATAGTTTAGGAGAAAATAAAACGTTACTCTATGATCTATCAACAGTTTTTCTGCTATGTTCTTATCACTCTTAGAATGAAGTACCCATAGATGAGGGTTTTGAATTTTTTATATCAACTTTTGAAGAACACTCCAATATGAAAGAACTTGATACAAATCTTGGACAGGTATTATTCTTTACATATCAATTGTCTTTTTCTTTTTTTTACTTGAGTGACTTGTAGTTTTTTTATAATAAACAGATACAAAGCATCATAATGCTGTATATTTCTTTACTAAGTTTAATGAAATAAACGATATTGAAATGTTATTTTAATGTCTCAGAATGTATATGCACATCAAGTAAAATTTTTTATCACTTTTTCTTTAAGCTCATACAATGAAGTCTTCGAAAATATATTATGCTTTTCTTTGAAATTTTTCATTATAATCATGGAAGTAATATGTACTTATGTGTAATTACAATATATTATGTATTTATGCATAAAACAGTGCATTTGCAAATGGATTTGAGGTAATACAGTATTTTATAGCCTGCCTTTTTTTTAGCATTTTTAAAATTGCTGCATTGTACTTTCTCAAAATAATTTTTAAAAAGTGGAAGAAATAACAACCATTGGCTTTAATTGTCCAATGTAGCTAGAGTGTATCATTTTCTTCCTCTATGCTATACAGGATCTGCCAATACTGGGTCCTAATGAGAGCTAATAAATTGTATTGAACTATATTCTTCTTTACATAGGCTCTAAATAGCCCTTGCAGAAATGGGAAGCTATTGTAAAAAAGAATGCTATGTGTGTCTGTGTGTCTAATACTTAGACCACTTCTAATTTTAAATAATCAACTTCTAGAAATGCACAAACTAATTCCACAATGTACACATTAACCTGTTCAAAGCAAAAAATAGCCAGATTGTTTTAGTCCTGTTCAATGTATATTGGACTGCATCATTAGTTTAATAAGTTACTGAATTGTTAAAGAAGTTATTTTAAATGAGTTATAAAGTTTGAAGTATTGATGAAGTACAGTTAAAAAACAGAAGTATGAACACTGAGAAATTGTTTATTTCTGTCCTGAAGGTAGGTCCTTGATGCATATCTGCTGAAATTTGTAAAGTTAAATGATACAATAAAATTCAACAGAAATTATCAAATAAATAATTATCTTAAAAAGTATTTCAAATAGGATAATTCTTTGTTAATACTATTGAAAAATCAAAACCTAAATCATCAAGTTGTATATTTAAACAACTTAAAATTTAAAACTTTTAAAATATTTATAGTTATTTATAGCTATATAAATTTAAAATATTTATAGTTATTTATAGCCTTTCTACTACCCATCTTTTGAAAGGTAACAAAGTGGCTTTTTGACACCTTTTTTGTGTTTGTAATAAAGACATCCCTCTATTTACTGTATACGTAAGTAGAACACAGTATTGTACTACTGGAATTCTGTTTGTTCTCAACATCTACTCCAGAAGATTAAGGATTTTCCAGCCAAACTTTGACGGTACATGGGAATTTAAAACAATGGATATCCTTGTTTTTCATTCAGACCGAATTTTATTTATGAACATATTGATTATTTTCTAGGAATTACCTATATCAATTCAAATAATTCAATGGAGATATTGTTTCATGTTAGTTTTTATTCAATTATTTCTGAATTTATTATTTCACATTGTTTTTCTTCATGATAAACAATAGAAATCAGCAGATGGCTGCCTTCAAAACATCTGTAGCTTAAATGAGCAAACTCCACTGCTTGTCCATATGAAAGAAATGTTGACAGAATTACTTGAAGTAAAATCTCCTACCTGTAATTTCAATAAAATAGACAAGGAAAAGGGATGGAACCAACTCTTTACTCCAAGCACATTACCAGGTGATATAAGTTTCCAAAGATATTGTAACATTGATACTGATTTTATAGACATAAATATAAATATTAGGTCTATCTGCTGATTCAGAACAGAACTGTTATCAGGTGCAGAATTTGATGTAGTTTTCATTTTCTCTAAACCTATCCTGCTGTAAAATTCACCATAAAACTGTTTGTAAATGCTAGGGAAGATTTTCATGCTGCAAAAAATGGCACAATGGTACCAATGTCGGAAAAGTGCTCCCCCCCCTCCACAGAAATATCCATATACTTTGCTTGTGTAAAATGTCTTAATATAGAAGGAGGAGAGAATAATGTTAAATGCAGTGATTCTTAAGAACAGGCCAAAGTTGGGTCTTCAATTCAGGTCCAAAGTTTTCATGGAGATATGAGTTGTTTGTCATTGTGGAATACTCTGACTTCTTATGAACACTGAAACCATTCAATATTAATAGACAGAGGAATCTCAGTGCTGTATTAGTGGTCATCTCTAGCAACCTAGGAAGGGATGCTGCTTGGTAGCAAAACATGGCATATCAACATTATCCTGTCCTCTTCAAACCATGAATCAAAACCAGTTAGACTATGGGCATTGCTGGCGTAAATCTCTTGATGAGATAGAAATCATGATAGGTTTAGTGTAATCCCATTGCCTTATTTCTGCATTCAAGGCTGCACTTCATGGAATGCAAAACTGCACCAATGTCATTATAGCAGTTTCTTATTTATCAAGGAGCCATGGTCAAAAATTATCATCCCAGAGACTAGCAAAAACTAATTCATTTTCTTTCCCTCTTCAGAAAAATCTCTTTTCTACATCTAATATGAAAGTAAATATTTATTACCATATTCTATCTTTTTTGTTTTTTTCAGAGGTAAATTTGAGATAGATCCAAGAATAATTTCTCTATGGATATTTCCCATACATGAACACAGAGACACAGGACTGATTATTTCCTTATTTTCTTACTCCCAGTGTGGCTCCATGAAAAGAATAGTCCCTTTTAATGATTCTTCTCTCCTGCCTTTGATAGCATTGCCACTGGAAATAATACTTGTGTCATCTAGCTCCTGCAGACATTTCTTCATATTAACTTTTTTCCATAGTATGATCCTGGATTGTAATACTGTGGGATAACACCATAGATATTCATCAGATATCATTTTACATCTCATAATGGGGATGGTGGAAACAAGGTGTGCATGGGGTGAAGTGGGATCTGGTATTAGTCTATTAATCATCTCCAGTATGCATGGCATTTCCCTATTGAGGCCCCAAGCTAATTGGCAAAACCAGGTTTTCAGGTGCTTATGAAAGGTCAGGAGGATGGGAGCAAACCTCACTTCAAGGGGTAAGATGTTCCAAAGGGCAAAAGCCATGACAGAGAAGACTTCTCCTGGACCTTGCCAGCCATTATTCCTTGAATAACAGGATGCATGCCTGCTCAAGTAATCTGGACCCATGTCATGCAGGGCTTTATAGATAATAACCAGCACCTTGAATTACATATAGAAACAGACCGGCTGCCAGTGCAGCTTGCAGAACAGCACTGTAATTGGGCCATTCTACGGCCCCAAAGGCTGCCCGTGCTGCTGCATTCTGCGCCATTTGTAGCTTCTGAATGGTCTTCAAGGGCAGCCCCATGTAGATCTCATTGCAGTAGTCCAAATGTGAGATAACCAGGGCTTGAATGACTGAGCTCAGGAACTCCTGATCCAGGAAAACTTGCAACTGGTGCACAACCTGAAACTGTGCAAAGGCAATTCTAGCTGTGACTGCCATCTGTTGTTCATATTATATGTTTTCCTTATAGAAGAGTTGCTCTAGTCTTCCAACCATTTTGGTATTTTCCCCATTTTTCCAAGGTCTTTATTTTTGTTTTAAAAATATGAAAAAATAGTAAGTAAGTAAGTAAAAATATCATTTTAAAGTAAACTATTGACCTGCAGATCACTGCTAATTTTTCCAAAGAAAAAAAATACGAATTCAGTGCCTGATTTATCTAGTGGCTGATTTTTTTATTAAAAAGATTGATGGATCCTTTTTCACTAGGCCTGAAAAAAAAGAGAACAGCAAAAGAGCACCAAAATAAAGTTTTACGAACATTGTGCATAAACCCTTTGAGCTGGAGCTGAGAAGAGCCTTCTCCATGCTATGGATCAAGAGGAAAACATTACCCTTTTTTTAAAGAGTAATTTTTTTAAAAAAAGTGGGTAAATATAAAAAATGATACTTCTGATAAAACTTGGCAGCCTATTCAGTCTAGCCTTTAAGAGACAATATAGGGAAATGCCATGGTAGATACAATATGGTTGTACACAGTTGTTGTATACAATTATCTCTGTGTTATGAAATTTCAGATTTCCTTAGTCTTTCCATAAGCTTAGAAGAGCAAAAGTTGGAGAAAGTAAATTTTTACTGGCAATTCACTTTATTAGGAGTATCCTCTGTAGCAGATTAAAATGGCTGCTATTATAAATATTCCACAAATCATTTGTACCTTTTTTCTCTGTATGTAACCAATAAAGGGAAGAAAACTAATTAGCATTGCAATCTCTAAATAAGTATACATCATTCTTGAAGTCATCTTGATTATTCTCAGTTATACATAGCTGTAAGCTACCAAGCAATATGTTGCCACGACTCCTAGAAGAGGAAGGATTTTACATTCCAAGAAAGCCTTATATTCCTAGGAAGATGCACCACAAAATGGAGAATCGCCTTCAGCAAGAAGGGGTAAATATGATGATTTTGCTTTTTTTAAGAACCACTTTCTAAACAATTTGTTTTAAAAACAGTTATTTGCTGGTTTGCTTGATTTTCTTTATGCTTTTGAAACACCCTTATCAAGGCAAAAGGCTGGTTTGAAGAAAGTGGGGAAATAATATCATTACCTTCTCCGATCAAGCAATCAAGCCATCACATAGTATCTTTCCCTGTTAAGACTATCACAGAATTAAATACAATATACAGAAAGGTTTGTTTTTACTCTTTCACACTATTTTACAAAGGGATATTCATTGGACAACGTTCAGTATGCTTTGCTAGAAGTGTTACGTTCAGGAAGACCGTCAGTATATTTTAGTTGTTTTTTTCACCACAATTAAATAACAATTTGTGGAGGGGGTGTTACTCATGCAAGGTCTGCACTAGCATTTGGAATTTCATAAGTTTGGTGAATTGCTTCATCACTTTCCACTTGCTTTGGAGGAAGATGAATGAGCAAGTTGTAAACATCTAAGAGATTTCTGCTCATTTTGAATTAGTTTTTAAAGCCTGGCTGCCTATTCAGGCCTTTCAGCTTTGGGTCTTTGGGTCTTTCAGCTTTGGGTCTTTGTATCAAATGTTTTGGGGGATATAAATGTATTGTACTACAACCATGGCTTTGTCACACATTGCTATTTATTTATAATTAAAAAATAGTATTTGGCCCAGTACCATATCTAGTCGTATTTTTTTATGTTGACTCACAAACAGTTTTTATCTATCAGGTCAAACAGGTTTTTCTCACTTTGGATTCATTTAGAGAGCCTGCTTTAAAAATATACATACATAGAAGTACAGTCCGTATTGCTGTTCAAAATTACTTTTTTTAAGATTTTTTTTTTTCACCCTCCCAAATAGGCAATGCAACCAGAGTTGGAAAATTGTGCCAAGTTTGATGACTATAAAATGTATCAACTAGATCTTAACATATCAAGTATTGTCTTCAGTCATCATTGTCTTTTTAATTGTGAGCAAGTGTTGGCTGTTAAGTTGCTTCATATTTATGAATGTTTTCAGAAAAGACAAGAGCAAAATGTTACTAACTTGCTTTCTGAAAAAGTAAGAAAATACTTTTATTTTACACTAAATTCTAGTAATAATGATGTTTGAAAAGATGTTGTTTAAATGACTTCAGTTTGTCTCAATTTGAAAACTAGAGATATGCCTAACTTTATTTTGTTGTCATAATATCTGTACATGTTAATTTTGAAATTCTGCCTTGATTAGGACTCTGTTTCTATAGTGCTTACAATATTGCAATACTGCAGCATAGATGAGACAATAAATTTATTATTACCATATCAAATTAACATTCAGAATAGTCTAAAATATTTCCTAGAAATATGTAGGGAATTGTTGCTTCCCTCCCCAGCCTTTGAACTGTTTTGTTAAAAAAAATTAAATTGAATGCATTTGGGCATTTGGGAACCAGCCTGCATTTACAGCCTTTTGTATCATCTTGCAATCACATGATCATGATTTACAATGTTTTGCTGGAAACCAGTGTTTATTTCTGGTTTCAGGCAAACTGCCCTATAACAAACAATGGATTCAATTAACTGCAGCATTCATTTAAAAACCATGGCATTCGGTTTATGATTGCCACATTCACTTAACAACTGCCACAAAAAAGCTAAAATCAGGTGAAGCCATGTGGTGATTCGCTTTATGACTGTTACAGCTTACAACTGGAATTGGACGCTCAATTACAATTGTAAGTCAAGAACTACCTGTAATATGACATATAAAACCATAGTCAATTTATGATAATATAAATATTTACACTGGACAATAGATAATCTCTTTTAAAACATTGTGATGACAAATTCCTTTTACCATACAGAGAGCTATTTATGGACATACTTTGTTTGGCTTCCTAATATTGAACTCCAAAACATAAAAAAAAATTAGAGAGATCGATTATCCTCTACTGCAAAGTTCTTTTAATAATAATAGCCAGCTGAATGAAGCCAAATTACTTAGTTGTTGTACACTGAAGGTTGAGGATTATTTATTTTTTGTGAAACAAGTTTCTCTACTGGAATTATGCAGAATGTCTATGACTATTCTTTTTATTTTGTGTTATTACATCATGGCTGCAAAATGTAGAAATTTTCCAGTATAAAAATATGCATCAGTTTTATAAACTGCTTTTTCTACTTGTTAATGCTAAATCACTAATAACAATTAACTTATTATAAATTTTTGTTACAGCTAAAAGCCTTAATAAGTGCAACAAATCTAGCAGAAACACATTTTAAAAAAGGCCAGTTGAATACAAACACTTTAAAGGATTACAGCTCACAAATAAGGTATCTTGTTATTCTGGAACATTTCAAGCATGCTGCAGATGTGTTATTTTGTTGTTATGATTGTTGTTAATGGTATTATTTATTTTATTTGCTTTATTGTGATTTCTGCAGTGCCTGAAATCTATATACTACTAAAAACTCTTATGTCTGTGCGAATTGGGCAAAACAATAGGATAAAACATTTTCAACCAAGGTACTTTAAATGGGCTAACTTACAGAATACATCTAAAATTCAGATCCTATGACTCCTGTTGAATTGAAAGTTGACAAATTTTATAAAACTTTTTATGACATAAATATCATCATAAAGCATTTTTTCCCTGTGTCAAAAGCATCAAAGCACTTCTATGGTGAAAGGATCAACCGGTGACATCACCCTTGTCCAGGGGACACCCAGTTGAGGGGTCCTTTCATGTCCCCATTAAGTTGCCCACCGGGCAGGATTCTGATCAGGATTTTGATAATTCTGATGATTGATGTAAAGATTCTTATGTTGAAATTGAGGCCTTGGCATGTCTTTGGAGTTGTGGAAACTTTGATAAAGAAAGCACAAACTTATAGTTGAACATGTGATCATAACTACAGAATGCATGCACAAGTATTTTTGTAACTTCTGTACCTTATCTACTATGAACTGCATTCCTGTTATGTAACTAAGTGAAACTAAGACACCTACAGTATATATGCTTGCTTCAAAATGCATTTTTCCAGTCTTATGGAACGACCCACCTTTGTTCAGCACTGAACAAACATATTAATTAGAAAGAGAACTTGGACTCTGCCTCTTTGATTGTGCTGAGCCACACATGGTCCCCTGCTTAAAGTGGTATCCATTTTTCTACTTGTCATCACTGCTTTCGAACTGCTGAGTCAGAGGAGCAAATGACAGAAGCCCACCCTGCCATGCAGCAGCAACCAGGCCTTCAACGCAAGTCTACCAATTGTCAGACTAGTGCTCTAATCATGTGAGCCACCGCGCTGCACATCATAAAGCATTTTATGACAGAATACAAAATAACATAAAATATTTCTGTGGTGAACTTCTGATATTTGACTGTGCTATACAGTTCAGTATAGGCTACTTTCAATGTAGATTTATCTCTGAATATTTCTCTGAATTTTTAAGAACATTTTAATTACATTAGAAGCTCTGCTATTGTTGGAGGCATTGAAAAATATGATAAGGACATATCTGAAATCACAGGTTATTAGTAAAAGGAAAACAACCAGTTTAAGGGTTGCTGATTATTTTTCCCATTAAAAGTCATTAAAAGGTCAAAACAGTACATGGAGGAGAAGGGGGAGATGATTGAGAACACAGTACAGATTTGGAACACAGTACAGGTAGTACTTGTTTAGTGATCACAATTGGGGCCGGCAACTTGGTCATTAAGCAAGTGGTTGCTGCTAAGTGAAACATTAAGTTTTTACAATCTTATTTAAGCTTTCTTTTGCTTTACAGACCTGCAAAGGTCATAAATGAGAGAATTAGTTGCAATTTATTTTTTCATTACCTCTGTAACTGTAACTAAACAACTATGTTTATCAATGAAAGTGATTTAACATTTTTTCCTAATGCTGACGTATTACTTGGATTGCATTTTCTCTCTCCTCCTGTTAATTTAATTCCTGAGAGAAACTTTATTGCATAATTGCAATATTGCCAAAAAAAGCATATAGCTGCTCAAAATAGTACTGGTTTCACAAAATTTTATGAAAGCAACTTTGTTGGACTACAAAAATAGGTTCCAGGAAGGAGGGAGCCTATTCCAAAAAGAAAGTCATTGTTTATTACATTTGTCATTTGCAATAAATATAAATGAGTATTTTTTATCAAGTCTACTCCTGATGATTGAGAAACATTAGACATGTTGTTTTGCAAGATAGTTATAAATATTAGAATTTTTCTCTAAATATATTACTCTTTTTCTGTTTCACAATTAATGAACTGCTAGAATTACAGGTCCAACCAGATCTGACATGAGAAATCTATGATCATGCTAGCATATAGCATTAATAACAGCCATACAGAGTTAGATTAAATCCTTACTTAATACTATTGTCAGGCCTAACCCTAGAACATCCTAGCACAATTCTTTATTTTCTTATACCATATAAACAGAATCTTGCCTGACTAACAACAGGTCCAACAACAACAATAATAATCCTATATTACTCTACCCTAAATCCTGGGAGACTCTAGGGAATGGTTATCCTAAACCTCTTCCTCTTTCCACAATCCAGGTCTGGACTGTGCTGTCTGTTGTTTTGATGATAAGACAGTCTATTTTATTTGTAAATCCAGTGTAACATCTTTTTCCATATCATTCTTGTAACTTGTCATTTTTAAGTCCAAACCCCAAACAGCTTTTCAATTCTTGTGGAATTGAAAGCCTGTTTCTGAGTTGTATGCTGTTATGTCACCTCTTTTAAAACTTATTTTTATAGTATCAGACAATTTTAAGAGAAATTTCTGAGTGGATTGTTCCCAAATGTCCCTGAATTTTCTCAAAGTTAAAATACTTTTCTCCATTCCGTATTAGTATGTCTCTTATCCTTTAATTAATTTTATCCCTTTGGTAAAGAAAGGCGATGCCAGAGACTGCTCCAACTGTCGCACGATTGCATTGATTTCTCATGCAAGCAAGTTTCTGTTAGAGATCATTAAACAGAGGCTACAGAATGTTATTAATCAAGAGTTAACCGATGTACAAACTGGGTTTAGAAAGGGGTGCAGCACTGGAGATCATATTGCCAATATTAGATGGGTTTTGGAAAAGGCAATTGATTACAGAAAAGCTTTTGACTGTATAGAACACAATAAGCTATGGGCAGCTTTGCATGATCTTGGTGTCCCAGCGCACCTGATCAGATTCATCAGGTCACTCTACACTGATCAGGAGGCAACAGTGAGAACACTTTATGGCAACACAGACTTGTTCAGGATCAGTAAGGAATTAGACAGGGATGCATTTTCTCTCCTTTTTTCTCAAGTAAGATGCTGAAATGACCGTGGAAATTAGATCTGGAACTGCCTGATGTTGGAGTGAAGATTGGGGGAAGAACCATAAATAATTTCAGGTACACAGATGGTACAACACTATTGGCTGAAAATAAGGAAGATCTGGGAAAAAATGATCTGGAAAATCAAGGTCGAAAATGAAAACGTAGGACTGAGTCTTAACATCAGGAAAACAAAGATAATGACAACAGCTAAAGGTGACATGAGACATTTAAAACCAACAAGGAGGAAATTGAATTAGTTTGAGAATTTATCTTCCTTGGATCCAAAATTGTTTACGATGGCAGTTCTACTCTTGAAATCAAATGCAGGATAACCTTAGGCTGTACTGCAATAGTTAATTAATTAATTTTATCCCATTAGTAAGATCTGGAAAAGCAGAGATATTGATATAAATACAAAAAGGCTAGTTAGAGCAATAATCTTCCCTATATTGATGTATGGGTGTGAGTTGGACACTAAGAATGGCTGATCAAAGAAAAATGAATGCCTTTGAACTGTGGTGCTGGGTCAAATTACTGCATATACCATGGACAGCCAGAGTAACTAACAGAGAGGTATTAAATAATACCAGACTCATCACTAGAAGCTAAAATCATAAGACTATGACTGATTTACTTTGGCCATGTTATGTGTGCACATTCATTGGAGAAAGCAATGATGCTAGGACAAAGAAGAAGGTGTAAGCAAAGAACACACTGGCTTGATAACATCAAATCTGATGCAAAGTTGAACATACAACAATTGAAAGAAGCTGTGTTTGACAAAGTAGCATGGAAAGCACTTGCCTATAAAGTCACCACAAGTCGGACATGACTAAATGGTTAAAATGGTTAAAAAACAACAATTTCTTCTGGTTGCCTCCAGTCTCCTCTTATGCTTTTTTCTAATGCATATTTTTCCATGGGAAGACTTCTTTTATTTAGATTCAAATTCTTCATATATTTTAATAGGATTTTAAACAGCTCACCGGAAGGATTCTTATAATTAATTTCAAAATCTTATTTCCAATCCATCTATCCTCTTAGTCTGTTTATAGCTTTCCATAATCAACATTCTAATCCTCCTTTTGCTGTTCATTAAAAAAAAATAAAAATTGAACCATGAGTAGGGCAAAGCTGATCTTTCCTCAATTCCTAGAGCTCTATAAATCACTGGAGAACACTGTTTTACTCTTTCCTCATGAGGAGCCTTCGTATGGAATACTAGGCAATCTCAGGTCTTCCCTTTTATCCAGAGAGGCATTTTGAGGCACTGAGCCATTTGCCAGCTCCTCATTCCATTGCCATCACCTTCAATCCACCGTTACTTTCCTGGAAGTACCACTAATATTAATTTTAATATTAAATAAACCTCATGATTTGTGTTTGAATGTTGAAAATTCAAGTGTGGTGGAAATTCAAAATGTTAATTAAACAATATGATTGTTAAATATCTTATTTTTTGCGATGTATCTCCCTTTTCACAAGATACACTCCCTTTGTATAAGTATATAAGAAAAGAATTTTTGTGTATTTGCATTCCAAACAGGAGAATTTAATGTTAGCTTTTATTCTGCCTTTAAAAAGTAGAATTTTCACTTAATTTTGTATTTTTTTTTCTTCCACATATTCATTCTAAAAAAGAAATACTAAAATATTATATGAAAAGGAACAACAACGAGATTATTCTTTAATACAAAGTATGCTGAAAATGTGGAAACAGATGAAGACTTTACGTAAACAACAAGCTTTTACCAGTACAACTATAAAGCTGCAATTTCAAAGGTAAATGTATAAGGCAATCACAATACAATTAGAAATAGTGCATTAAATTTCTATAAAAAATAATATCACGGCAATGGCAACGTTCAAGCAATATTCAATTATCTTGAAAAAAAATCAACATTAACAAAGAAGAACTTTAGAAGACATAAAATCTGCATTTGCCTAATAAAATGAAGAAATAAATTTCTGGAAAGCTCAATAGAAACAGATTATAAATACCTGCTATTTTTTATTTATATGGTATTTGAATATTGAAGGTGTTTCTGAATATTATGGTTTAATGTATGGGTTGTTTCATAATTTAATTTTATAAGCCATAATTAATACTAATTGTAGTATGTTGATTTAGATAGAATAGCAAACCACTTTTAATCAAATACTTCTGAGTTTTAAGTGCCCTTCCCAGATATACAGTAGAAAGATTGAGAGAATTGATAGAGCCAAAGCGGTGCTATTTAAGATGATGGACAAGGAATAGGGAGAGTCATGTTCTGTCCAACTAATTGGGTTGCTCTGGGCTAATCGATCTCACAGCGGTGTTGAAAGGGAAAAGGTCAAGTAAAATACTAAAAATTAAAAATACCATTGAATGATAAATTGGAGGAAGTGGAGGATTCAGATTTCCTCATTTTGCATTAAAGTATAGTTATGAATAGGCCACGGAGAGTTAAATTTGGGGGCTCTGAAACATTAGTGGAAAATGCAATGGTTTATTGATAGAATGTGATGTGGCACGCAGAATTTTATAGAAGTGAATAGGCTGTGTGCTATCACCAAATGCCATAACCTTGTGGCCTTAAAATTATTTACAGCCTGGGGTGACAGCAGCAATATGTTAATCATACACTGCTGCTTCCCAGACTATAATTTCATGATGGTATTAAATAATTAATCAAATTTATATTTTACCTTGGACTCGGGTGCTTCTTTCTCTTGATAGCTGGCATTTTTAAATGCAAAATTATCATTAGAGGCTGCAGTTGATTACCATGGGTATGAAGGACGGTGAAAAGACTCTCCCCACTTTTCCATTCTTAATTGCATTCTCCTTCCTTATTGAAAATGAAGGGAGAAAGCAGTATATAACTTGGACATCAACTTTTGACTGTGCACTCCTGAATGTCTATTTTTTATTTTTCATATATTTTTCATATTCAAGGCAAACACATTATTCTGAATTGGATGAATATCTGGCCAAAATATCAGAAGATGATGAAAAGGTAAGAAAAAGAACAATAAAATATTGTGAGTTCAGTAAATCTGTGTATAAATTTGTGTAAAATACATTTGAAAAAAGCAATACAAATGCAGATATTGTCTGAGAGAATATTGATTACAATAAAATATTAATATTGAATTCTAGGATTCTTTGGACTCAGTTTGTACCTCTCAATCTTTAACAAACCTTGGAGAAGGAAAGAAAGCATTTTTCATCCCTCATATGACCTTTATATCAGAAATAACACCAGCAAAATTATGCCCACTGTGAGTTCCACATTTTTTCCCCACTTTGTTTTAATTTTCAATGGCTATTTTATTTTTAAAAAATGGAGGCATATCCTTTGGCATATGTAAATAAAATGGCTTCTTCTTCCTCCTCTACCCCACTTTACATTACACTCTTCTATAGAATAGGTCCTTCTTGGTATCACCTTCTGATAGCACCCAGAGCAGCCCAGCAGAACTGAAGTTTATTCAAGCTCTCTAGAAGAAGACTGTGGTTAATAGTTCAAGTAGTCCTCAGCTTATGTCCATTTGTTCAGTAATTGTTCAAAGTGACAGCAATGTTGAAAACATAGACTAATCTCTGAAGTGCAGGCCATCACAGCACCCCTGTATTTACGTGATTCTAATCTGGGTACTCAGTGCCCAACTCACAAATATAACACCGTGGTCACTTGATCGCCATTTTCAACCTTCCCTGCCAGCTTCCTATAAGCAAAGTCAGTGGGGAATTTGGCAGGGAAGGTTGCAAGTCACTCATGTAAGTCATTTCTGCTTTTTCTCCCACCAGGGTAAGTTCTCTGCCAACCTCACCTGCAGCCTCTGCTGGCCCTCCCAGACTTTCCCCTGTAGCAACCTTCCACCCTTGCTGCAGCCTGATTCATCTTTATCTGGGATTCTTGCCTCTTTCTGCTTAATGATCGGTGTGTTTTGAGATTACAATAGCAACTGGGATTGCCCAGGATTGCATCACTAAGCAATGCAGTCACATGACATTGTACTTTTCAACTGCATCACTTAGTGATGGCAATCCTGGTCCCAATTGCTATCATAATCTGAGGACTACATGTATCAAAATCAGGAATGTTAACTAAATCACACTCTCCTGTCAATATCTGGGTACAGATAATCCAATAGGATGACCAACATGTTCCTGTGCCAATATTGGGTTGAAATTTGGAGTGAAAATTTAAACCTTAACTATTATTTTTAATTGGAATACATTGTAACACTAACATTCTACACATTGTTTTAATGCTCAGAACCTCAGTCTAGCAAATGTATACAGGTAATCCTTGATTTACAACAGTTCACTTAGGGACCATTCAAAGTTACAACAGCACTGAACAAAGTGACTAATGACCATTTTTCTCACTTATGACTGTTGCAGCATCCCCATGCTCATGTGATTTACATTTGGATGCTTGACAACTGGTTCATATTTATGACGGTTGCACTGTCCTGGGATCATGTGATCACCTTTTATGACCTTCTGACAAGCAAAGTCAATGGTGAAGCCAGATTCACTTAAGAACCATGTTACTAACTGCAGTGATTCACTTAACAAATGTGGCAACAAGAATTGTAAAATGGGGCAAAATTCATTTAACAAATTTCTCACTTAGCAACATAAATTTTGGGCTCAATTGTGGTCGTAAGTTGAGGACTACCTATAAATGCATGCTTCATTTTTTTTCTGAAGAAATTAATGTGTAGTTTTTTTTGTCTGACAGTATGGTTAAATAAAATATTAACTGTAATTTGTTTATTTTTAGAGAAGAACAGAAGCGAAGAGAAAAGGTCAAAATGGAGAAATATTTTATTAAAATATATTACAATAATAAATTGGTCTCTTGCACTCCAGAGTTTTCTCTGCGTGATGATTTTAAAGTTATATTTCAACAACATTTTAGAATTCAGATTTTAAACTGGTCTGAATCCCTTCAGCTAGAGGTATCTATGCAGATGCAAATGATTCCATAGAAAATCTAATCATCTTCTCTTTACAAAACCTTCATCTAATTGGAAGTTGTTCTGTTCCTATTATTTTTAGGGAATTTTTTATATTTAACTATTTTATCTTGGAATGAGCATGTAGTCGACATGTTTGTTGAATGAACTTACTGTATGCTCCATAATGTTTGAAAATATAATGTGCTGTGATAGCAACCTATACATTCCAGGATATTAGGTCCGTTGTTCTTTTGCAAATGTACGTTGGAGTTTGACATTACAATGTTTGTGGTCTCCTTAAATGGTATCCACCAATCTCCAAAATAAACAATAATCCCCCCCAAAGGCAGAATCTCATGAAATAGCTATGTCCTGTGCATTTTTTTGTTAATACGTAATTTCAAAAGTTTGATTTTGATTACATTTTAATTTTTTAGTATTTACAACAACATTGTGCCTTCACTATAGTGTGTAAAATCATGTAATGCTGCCCTCTGTCTGAAAAAGTGATTGGCCCTAGATATTATTTATGTATTATTGATTGCATTTTATTTTGCTTTCTTTCTCTGACTATTCTATTTTTTTTTTAGAACTTAATATACGGTACATGGCAATCTTTTCTAATTTTATTCTTCATAACAAGAACCCTCCTCTCCCATGACATAGTTTGGAATGAGGGAAAACAAATGGCCCAAAACTATTCAGCAAACTGGGAAGATAGGAACCTTGATCTTTCCCAAAACTTACTCATAATACTAGATTATCTCTGCTTATGTAGAAGCAACCCATGAAAAATAATCTTTTAGGTCTAGATACATATATTTATAATATTAACCTTACAGGTTATCTATATAAAATATCTGGGACTTTTTATTGTGGCTTTTTCTTCTTTTTACTTTGGTTAATTAATTTCAATTCTTCTTTGACACAGAATGCTTTATATTATATGATATATTATATTGTAGATTATGGAGTCAAATAAAAACATGTTGCTGACCAAAGTGTACTTACCTCTTCCTAATAACTGTATTTTGAAAAGCAAGGACGTTTTGGATGAAGTAGAGTTTAGCTGTGAACAACAAGTTAAACCTTCAGCTGGAGCAGTGGGAAGCAGTTAAGTTACTACAATAATATTTCTTCAAATTACTTAGATAACTGTAGTTCTCTACAGTTTCAGTTCTGTTTCGCTGCATATTTTTACAAGGCAGATTTTCAGTTTCACTGTGAGTTTTTTTCTCCAAAATTTAAATACTAAACAAAGCAAAAGAAAAAAGTATTTGGTATTAAATTTAGAAGTCGAAAAAGATTAAGTATAATTTTGAAAAAGATGTCTCTGATTTTTGCCTTTTCTTTCTTTTATTGGTAAAAATAACTTGTTCATTCATAGCGACTCTGGGCTTCTTATAGAGATGCTGCAGCTTTGCACTGTATCCTAGAATGACCATGTCATGCAATGGAGAAGAAGCAGCTTCCATGAAAGGCTGGCATTGCTATAAACCTCTTAAGACTGAAAACAAGCATAATATCTTTGGGTTCAGATATGTTTTTTAAAAAAAATGCTTGTAACCCTTTCCAAATGTAACATTTTTTTTCTAAATTATTTAAAATTATTTTCAAAGTCCTTCTTTTGAAATTATTTGTTTTTTTATTGCCATTATTTTTAGTAATATATCTCAAATGATCATGTGTGCCAAGAAGAAAAATTAGTAAATTAGTGATCCTCATTTTTTCATTGCTAGCTGATGTATATTTCAAATGTGTTGGAACAGATTATAAGGCTATGAGTGGTGAGATAAAGAATCTTTGCTTATCTGAACCATTTAAAAGCAGATGCTCTTATACCTATTTTTATCGATCAGATCGATTTTATTGTAATTCATTTGGCTATAATTTTAAGATCCATAGATTTGTCATTAGAAAGTGAGCAGTCTGTTTGTTAGTCTCAGAAGTTAGCACCTAAAGTTACATGCCCCAGTGAGGTTGTGTGGCATTTAAAGTGAAATGAAAGTCTGGTGTTGCAATAATGTTTGTTTGGGTTATGTTTATATTGCAGATGTTACTTTTTTTCTTGGTGAAAATCAAACAGAAGAATTATGTATTATGACATCAGGAAAATTAATTTATTCTTTATCTTGGACAGTTAATGACAAGGGAATTCCTTTGGCTCCTACTTTTCAACATGCATATATTTCTTCCAACAGGTGGTAATATTTATGGATTAGTTTCATTGTTAGTTATTTGCTTGGCAGATTTTAAAGTATTTATTTATATTTTTAATTTGCTTTTGTAAAAAAATATCTATACAATCTAATTTTTATTTTTTTGCAATCTATAAACTGCCATGCCATGTATCTTTTTCCCTTGTCTTGCAAGGGATCTATGAGTTCTAATTCATGCTAGAGATAGATTGTGTATTTTCATAAATTGAGGAAATACCTATTTTTATTTTTGCCTCAGTAATCATTTGAATTATTATCTTGAAACAAGACTGATAGAATGAAGCTAATCTAATTGCATATATCTATGTTACTTCTGCACTTCAGTTTGAGATAATTACAAATTGCAGGCTTTGGCTTAGCATGGCCATGCCTAGCTATTTCTACAAGTCCCTTACCCCCCATTCCAAGAAGCATTTTATTATATTATTTATTTTATTGGAATTCTGAAAATTCATAGTTTCTTATGACTCAATTCAATTAAATAGGCATGGAGGAGGCATGAAATGGATATAAATACAGATAGTTCTCACTCACCAATCACAATAGGGACTGCCAACTCTGTTAAACAATGCAGTTACTAAGTGTGATGTTACATTATCGCACTGACTTATAATGCCAGTTCTAGTTGCAGTGATTAATCAGATCACTGCAGATTGTTAAATTGATGTCATGTCACTGAGACTTGCAATTCTTACTAACTTCCTCACTGACTTTGTAAATAGTGATCACATGACTATGGGACATTGCAATCATTGTGAATATGCATGGTTTGACAAGCACCTGAATCGCAATCATGGGACTTCAAGGGCCAGCCATCAGTCTTTATTTTCAGTGCCATTATAAATTCAAACCATCACAGAATGAGTAGTTGGTAAGCTAAGACTTTCTGTAATACATTTCAGGTTTTGCTCGGAAAGTGGGAAAATGTTGGCATTAAGTTTTGGTGCTGCATAGATCCTGGACATAGATGACACGTATTACCAATCTTTTTGATATGGCATAACCTTTCTCCAGATAACTAGCTAGGAATCTATCACGGATGGTGTTAGAAATTCTTGCTTTTATTTGCTGTAGTTGCCTATGACTTGGCTGTTTATGCTGCTGCTGCATGCTGGATGCAGTCTCTGGTCCATAACCTGTTAGAAATTCTGTTTATATAAAGCCCCATACAGAACAAACAAAGAGTACAATCACCATGTGCTTTACTATATAACTGTAACAGGAAACAAGAAACTCTACTAAGAACAAAAGAGCACATACCATAAATCCAAACTTTCAAATACTGCCATCTACTGGCTGAATACTACTGTAGTTGTTGCATAGAAATATACTGCTCACAAAAATAAAGGGAACATTTTAACATGGAACTGAAGGAGTTTGCGTTCCCTTTATTTTTGTGAGCAGTATACATTTCAACAATGAATTCCAATAGATGGCCAGTTGTAAGCATGTCATTTGTTGCTTTGCTTTATGCTTAATAGCCATCATTGTACCTTAGGCTGGGCCCGACATGAAATTTCCCCGTTTTGGGCTTATACCAGAGTCTAGATCACAGCTTCTCCTCAGAATGAGAACAGACTGATATTCCCAATCCAATATACTGTACATATTCAGCTTATTATCATAGCTATTATTGCTACAAAGTTTTCCTAAAACCATAAATTTAGATCTTGCCCAAAACTAAGAGGTACACACTTTTATTCCCCAAAATGATTACTGTCTTAAATTATTTTGAGTGCAGCACAATTTTGCACCCAGTAGCCCACACTTCAGGTTTATAACCCTGTTGACTTCTTTCAAAGGTCTTTTCCACACTCTTATGATTTAAGGCCTGTTTCTACATCCTTAAATTAGTAGCTCTGACTGTATGATTGAAAGTCCTGGAATACATCTTGCAGTTCATATGCAGTGACTATTTTAAAATGTTAAAATAAATCTATATTCTTTTGCAATCGTCCCTTTCCCCCCATTATGGCATCATAATGAGACTGTTATTTCATATTACATTTTTTTTAGTGTACCAAGGAACATCACTTCAGGAAAAGGAACAGGAATTTGGTGGCATTCTGATATCCAGAAACTAGTTGACTGGGCAAAAGACATAAATATTGACCCAAATGATCCTTACTACTCAGATTTGTTTGAGTTAATTATGGTAATGATGAAATTTCTGTAATGAAGTTTCAAATTTTCTGAAAGAAACTGTGTAATAAACCTTAAAGAATAGAATCTTCTTTTTATTTATTTATATTTATTTATTTATTTATTTATTATGTATTATTTATTCTAAATAATAAATTAAATACTTAGAAACACCGATCAAGAAACTAAATCAGGATTTTGTAATAATTTTTGATAACTAGAAAGTTTGTATATGTTATTCCTTTTTAACTCTTTATGATTCTATAGCTTATTTATTAATTGTATAAGAACCAAGTTTAGACTGTATTTTATTCTTTTATCCAGCTTGTTTCAATGTAGCTTTGATTCCTCCTTAACAAATATGAGAGCACAAGTAGAGTTTATATATATCTGACAAAACAAAATCTTACAGTATGAGCAGATACAGAAGGAATTTTTCTCTCTCTCATAATACAGGACAATTGAAATTGATTGGCAATAGACACAGGACTGGTGTGGAAGCACTTGTTCATATAATCTGACATGGAATTAACTCTCAAAATACTTTGTAGTGATTAGTTTGTATGTTAGGTGTCTATAAAATAAATTAAATGGAAGGATGAATACTTATTTGAAGTATAGATATCTATTAACTATAACAGTTACATGGTTCTCCAGACAGAAACAGTATAACAGTGTATCTTGCTTTGAATTCCTAGATGCATCTTCTTGACTACTTTTAGAAGCTGACTTCTGTTTGCCAACAAAAGTTTTCATAGCATTTTAGCAACAGTTCTACTATTTCCATACATATATACCTAACTTTTTAAAAGAAATTAAAAGTCAGTTATTTTCTGAATAATTTTGTTTTTCCAAAACACTTTAGCTCTCTTTATGCTTATTTAGTGGCAAAGTTTTTGCAGATTTAATTACATTTTCTCCTCTTCTGCATATGAACAATGTTCATAGCAATAAAGTTTTTGTATTTATTGATTATATTTAGCAAAATTATCCCAATTTATATTTGTTATTTTCTAATAGTATGCACAGTCTCAGGAGAAAAGTGATTCAAAACACTTTCGCCTTGAACAACTGCAAGAAGAATTTAACTTTGTTACTGCAGAAGATATTCAAAATTGCAAACGTTTCCGGCTGTTACAGTTTAGGAATTTAGGACAGTTGGGCTTCTACTGTTTTCAGCAGATTCCTCTCTTTGACAAAGAAATTCCAGACACAATTTTTCAGGTATTTTACTTTAAGAACAAATATTGAAGTTTAAATTTGCACTATGCATTTACACAATTTTCCACTTTCACCTCTTCCAATGCCTAAGCTAGTTGATGTTGGCCAGGTTCTCAATGATGCTATAGCAGTGAGGGAAATCTGGGAGCCACATCTAGGTACACTGCATGTTTCTTTGGAAGGTTTCTGATTATGGCTTTGTACAGGTGCATCAACACATACATAGCTGAGCATTTAAAAGAATCACAGTGATAGGTAAGCATTGGGGAATTGAAAAAAAAAACAGAAAAAGGTAAAGGGAAACCACTCCATATAATGCCAACAAAATTCCATGAAATGACTTTGTGATTGATAGACCCAGGGCTTAGCTTTTTACAAATTCAGTTTTTCTCATGGATCAACATAGGTTCCTTTTGCTTATTTTTGCTACATCTTGCACATGTTACTTACACTATACATTCTATATTCAATCCTCACATTAAGAAGTGTCATAAGAGTTACATGATTTACAAGTGGTGGGACATTTTTAAATACTTAAATTATATAGCAGCAAAAAACGAGGTACTAAAATATTAGATTTCTATAGGAAAATGTAGATATAACTGTATGAAATAAATAGAAAGTACTACTCTAAATGCTAAGTAATTGCTACTTAAGACCACAAGAATCTATGTCTTACAAGAAGTAGAATATAATTATGGCAACTTATCTTTTGTTTGGCCGAACAGTTTAGTGTTACTTTTAATTGATAAAAACAATCCATTTCTTCTTTCAGGAACATGGAGGCCAATTGGAAAAAGACATGTTTATGACAGATATGGATCCTATTTCTGCACAAAGAAGTAGTTCTGCCAACTTCGTTAGGATGGTATGACAGTTTTAATATATTAGAAAATGAATGGTTGGAAACTGCTTACTGCATTGAAAATAAAACAATGTAGTATTCAATTTCTATGAAACTTAAGGACAGTTGTTTTAAGATAAGTTAACCTTTATTGTCACTTTTTTCTATGAATACACTGGCGCACCTTAAAAAATTAAATTCCGATGCCCGCTCTCAAATAAATATATAACCATACACATACATGCACACATATTTACATATGCAGTATATATACATACATATACACTTATATACTTATATATATTAATCACAGTCCATTTTGAATACATAGCAGAAAAATGAGTCTTGAGAGTTAACAGGGTTGATACTTTATTGTACAAAGCTATTACAGAATCTAGTTGTTCTGCTTCATCTGAAGCAGAACAACTAGAACAGAACAACTATCTAACATGAAGCAGAACAACTATCTAGCATGAAGCCTCCTCCCAGAAGGTAACAAAGAAAACCGGTTATGGAGAGGATGTGCAGCCTCCATGATAATAGTGCGGCCTCTGGTCAAGCAGTGCTTATATGCCATGTCCTGAATAGAAGGAAGTGAACATCCAAGAATCTTTTCTGCCATCCTCATCACTCTCTGCACAAAGCCTTTCTATCTGAAACAGTAATACTTTCAAACCACACAATAATACAACATGACAGGATTCTTTCAATTGTCCCTCCATAGAAAGAGTCCTCTAAACTCTGTTATATAGTATATTTTTCTGAATTATATGCTGCTTCAGATATAATTGCTGTAATAACATCAACCTCAGAGAGGTTTAAATCCATACATAAACCATGTGGAACAGAAATAAAATGTTACAGTGCTATATCAATATAAAAATTGCTTAGAATAATGCATTGTAGTTATATTATTAATACAAAAGCTGAATATTGAACAGTGTAAAATACATTTGTCTAAATCTTGTAAATAAGAATTAATTCCTATTCATATAAAGACTCGCATTTTTTGCTTTAATTTAGTACAACATAGTACAAATTTATTATGTCAGCCATTGATCATAGACCAAACAATGGACTACATAAAGCCATAATAGAAAATACTTCTGTTTTTAAATACTGTATTTAAAATTAATTTAAATAATTAGTTTTAAAATTGTACATTTAGTTTTTATCTAAAAATAACAGGATACTATTATATTTTTGTCTAAAGTTAATATGATCTTTAATTCTAATTCTAATTCTGATTCTATAAACTTTGTCACTGCAATCTGCCCAAACAGTCAAGGTTAAGGGGAAATGTATTGCAACAAAGTTATATGCTGTTTTCAAAAATTACCTATCAAGAACAGCAGAGGTCATTCACTGCATTCTTAATATAGCCAAATCAGCCTGAAGAATAGGGTTAATTATTTTTCCAAATATGTTTATTTTTTCAAGTTAATTACTAGAGGGGGTATTTTTTATTGGCAAATGTACTGAGATCCACTGGTGAAGATATGACATAAATCCTAGGTTTTAAAAAATGATTACGAGTCAAATTATTCAATAACTGAAAATAATAAAAAATGATAAAGCTATATACTGTACTGTATTTAACAAATTTAGAAAACCAAAAGAAAAACAAGGAGACTAGTATCTGTTTCTTTTAAAAAGTTTAAATTACAGAAAAGAGGGAAACTCTATTACCTTAGTCCAGGGGTGTCAAACTCGCAATGTCATGTGATGTGTCATGACGTATTGCAACTTTTTTTCCATTGCCGGCAATGGGGTGGGCGCGGTTTTGGCATGATGCATCTGGCTCGCAGGCTGGCAGTTTGACACCACTGCCTTAGTCCAATTATTTGAAATTCTAATAATTCACATAAGTGTGTCAATTTTTTAAAAATTAAATATCTGACCAGTCTTTTCTTTATGCCTTTTCTAATGGGTAAGCCATTTCGCTGAGGCTGAGAAAAATAAAGCAACTAATATCCAAACATTAGAACTTACTCTTCTTATAGTTAATTATTAAAGAATATTTAAAACAGTACATTAAGGGGTATTTCAAATAAAGATCATATCATAAGCCTAAATTAAAGCCAATAGATTTCTTTTTCCTGTTTGAAAATTTGTATCATAAATATACAGATTAAAAGGAAGTAGGAAAAGGACAGAACTGTGCTTAACCATACAGAATGCTTGTTACATTATATGTTAAATATACTATTGAGTAGAATCTCACTTGAACATGGGTATTTTAATACAATTACAAACCTTGCACATAACTGCATGTTCCAATTAGAACTATATACAGACTTATTATATCTTACACATAATAAGGTGTTTTGATTTCTTTATCTCAAGTAATTATCTTGCATGTAAGGATTAATTAAGCGATACTGGCCCAATGCAAGAATTCCTCCATTCCTGTCATTCCCTAAATTTCAGTACAAATTGTATTGTACTGAATATATTGTACTGAATAAATAATAAAAGCACAATATAATTTATACTGAAATTCATTTCTTATCTTGCATTGTTTTTCGAACATTCGGTCTAGCAATGGAATGTTCTGGAAAATTGAAAATGTAGCAAATTATTGCTTCTAATGAGGTATTACTTTATTTTACTAATTTAATTTTAATAAATATAATTATAAAGCCTACTTTGAGGTCTACTTTTAAGAGCAGAAAAGGTGCATGAGTGAATTGAACAAAATCCTACTTATAGGTGGTTATTCTTGCTCACAAACTCATTTAATTTCTGACATAATATAGAGGGGAAGGATTTTGCTAACAAATATAATGAAATAAAATTTATATTTCCCCCTAAAAACAAACATTTTTGTTCTAAAAATCTGTTTCCTTATATAGGATTTGATCAGATCCAGACAAAAATTAGTAACTCTGATGCCATCATATAATGGCATCATTAGCTCCTTAGAGTGCCGTCGGCCAGACAATGCCGGCTGGCGACCCCCAGGGGGAGAGCCTTCTCTGTGGCAGCTCCTGCCCTCTGGAATGACCTACCCCCCGACCTACGTACAGTTGCGGACCTGCGCCTTTTTCGCCGAGCCCTGAAGGCCCATCTATTCCGTGCGGCCGGCCTGGCGTAGCTTGATTATGTTTCAGTGGGGGTTTTTTTACGGGTGTGTTTTTAGAACAGGCCCGTTATTTAATTCGATTTTAAAACAAACTATTTATTACCGTGGTTTTTAGTATCGCCTGTTCACCGCCCTGAGTCCCGCAAGGGAGATAGGGCGGTATATAAATTTAATAAATAAATAAATAAATAAATAAATAAATGTATATGGTTTGATCCTCAAGGGCAGCATGCACCTTTTTACATACCTTTTTCCATAGCAACAAAATGTTTACTCAACCTAACTGCTTCAAGCAATGCCTGTACTAGATAATTCAATGTAAATATATTGGTTTCTGTTGGCACTTCCAAAGCATTAACAACATCTAAATACTAATAAAGGATAATATTTGTAGTTCAGGATTGAAATGAGAGATCCTTGGCACTCTCTTAGCTTGCTTTTTTCTTGCAGACGTTTCATTACCCAAACTAGGTAACATAATCAGTGCTAGTATGATGGTTTAAAGCCCATCAGTGCTAACACTGATGATGTTACCTAGTTTGGGTAATGAAACTTCTGTAAGAAAACAGTCAAGCTCAGAGAGCACCAAGGACTCCTCAACATCTAAATAAATGATGTTTCTGGCTTAAACTCATGTTGATTAAATTTTACCGAAAACTTATGCTTTTTTTTTTACTATGTTTTTTTAGATGCGAAATCAAGTTGCAAAACAAATTTTGACCATTAGGCACAAATTTAATTTATCAGATCTTGTGAGTGATTATGAAGAAATTATATCAATGAGGTACATAATTTTAAACAAGTTCTTTTAAAATGGCCCAGTGTGGATACAGATGCTTAATGTGAACAATTTAAAATTCTAATAAAACTGGAAGGTAAAAAAAAAATAGTCTGAAAGATCTCATTTATTATTGAAACACTAGAACAAATACAGTTTTACAGAATGATATGCTTTGTGGTGTCTTATTTTCAAATTGTTTTATAAAACCAATTAAGCTCTGTACACAGTTTTGTGCATATATTTCAAGATTTGAGAAGTGGTAAACACCATTCCCTGCTACAGTATCATTTGCACTATGACATCAATGAACAGCCTGTTTTCAGCAGGTAAACTGCAATAATAAGAATCCTTTGGGTACACATAAGGACTTCCACATGAGTTGCAATCAGCAGCATTCACTGGGAGAGACTCAAAAAAGTCAAGAAGATGGTTGCAGCAGTGTGATTGTTGCTCCCCACCCTTTGTATGTGCATGTGAAGTCAACACATGTACAAAAACTTGATTACAGTGCTGCAGCCATCAGCCTGACTTTTTTTGATACGCGTGCGCGCGCGCGCGCACACACACACAGCGGATGCTCCCTGCTGGAATATTACACAATGTACTTTAAAGAGAGGGTGCTCTTAGTTTATTTATTTATTTATTTATTTATTAAATTTATATACCGCCCTATCTCCCTTACGGGACTCAGGGTGGTGAACAGGCGATACTAAAAACCACAATAATAAATAAATAGTTTCTGTGCTAAAATCAAATTAAATAACAGGCCTGTTCTAAAAACACCCCATACAAAACCCCCACTAAAACATAATCAAACTACGCCAGGCCGGCCGCACGGAATAGATGGGCCTTCAGGGCTCGGCGAAAAAGGCGCAGGTCCGCAACTGTACGTA